CCTTGTGTTCCCAGGGATTAAGAAAAATAGTATTTTACAAGATTTTTATGTTGTACATGCACACATGGCTTGTAAAATTGTGTTAAATGCACAGTTTGTAAGATAACCCTTTACTCTCCCTGTACACGGTTGCATTCTTTCTTTAGCAGGACAATAACAGAAAGTACTAGAACATGTGGCACCATCATTCAGGTTCTTGAACTTTGACTTCTTTTTAAGTATTTTTAACAATTCAACTTGATAGGATGCTATAAGTAAGAGCAGGGAGCTTACTAAATCTAACATATCACATCTTGATTTCATTTTGTGTCATCTCTCTTCTTTTAGTATTCTTTTTTTAGTACCTTTTTTCTTTTAAGTGGGTTTTTTTTTTCACTTTAAGTTGATAAATATGTACATTCTGTGGTGACTACACAAAAGGTTTTTCCTCTCTGACTTCTTTTTCACCCAGTTTAGTAGAAGCTTCTGCTTGTGTTCCTTTGGTCTCAGCTGCATGACAGCAGCCTTCAAGATGGTTTTTGTGATACCACATTACTAAATGTTATACCTGAAGGCAGTAATTACAATATACTAGTCTTCACAGGTGTGTTTAGTTGACTGTTCTCCAAAACAGTTAACAGAATCTTCTGGTGTTACTGACACTTCCATGACATGTTTTCAAATACTGGTGGCATCTCCATCTCAGTTGTGGCTTAGATATAACATTATTGTTATACATTATGCCTGTTATTTTGTTTTCTTCATGTTCTTTTATTTTCTTGTTTGTTTGTTATTTTTGTTTCAGTTTGTTTTTTTGTTTTGAGTTTGGGGTTTTTTTGCTTTTCTTAATACATTAGTGTATGTGCCAGTTCCTGGACTCCATTTGAGAAGTTAATTGTAGCTTAGAGAAGGGCACAATAGTGTTGTTTACTCCTCCTTGTACTCGGTGTAATGTCCCTGTTGCAGACTAGAGGGACTTGAAGGCTGCGGTAGTGGCTGGAAACCCTTGAGAACCATTTCAGTGCCTGGAAGTTACTGTAGGATGGAGCCACGCTGGTTATACCCTTCTTCCTCAGTCAGATCAGCTTTCAGAGGCTGGTTTCCCTTAGACAGGCTTTGCAATACCTTAAGTAAAATCTGGCACTGAAATGCCAGAGGTATTATTTGAAGAGTACCCAACATCCTTTTCCACAGAGGCGTCTCTACAACATACTATCTTTTGTCCCTCTGTCTTCCTCCTACCCAATAGCTAAAGTTATTACTGCATTATTAAATCATGTTACATATCTTTTGACATATTTTTCCAGCTTAATTATTTCTCCCCATTTTTACCCTGACTATTTTTTGAAGAGTTATATGTCTATAATGGTGGCAGAAGTGCTCTCGTACTCAGTGCATTGCTGGCAGCCTCTCCCTCCCTGCTAGCTGGGATAAGCAAAGAAGTATTTGACTCATTGACATGGCACCTATCCAGTCCCCGCCGCTGAACTCTGAGACAAATAAGGAGACTTTCTTGCTTAGAATTTAGTGTGAGGATCCATTAAAGGTTTTTGACTATCAAGATGCTGAATTTTGAATTGACACAAGACTAAGGTAGGAGGCAGAAATGGCCAGGTCTTCAACATGTGAAGAATTTATTTTTTGCCTTCAGAAGACAAGTGCTACACCCACCAGTTCAAAATCTGTGATCACTGGTTTTAATTTAGTGCCCATGTTTTGAACTCTTTATTTTTTATTATGTATGTTCTGCAATATTGTTAAGAGAAGGGGAAGAAAAAGTTCCCAGGAAGTCAAAGAAGGAGCTAGTAGCCATTAAGAAATGTAAGTCTACAGTGGTTCATCCCTAAGCTATGGTCATTTCAGCAACTCTTAACAGTAAAGTAAAACTAGATCTGAAACTAAATGTCAGCTGTTCTTACTAATTATACAGGATGTAGTGAAACAACCTATGACAAAAAGTACTTACTGCTTAAGTTTGTGTCTGTCAGAATGCTTGGTGTTTATTAACGTGTGTGTCTGAGAGATTTGAAAGAAATGCTCCCCATGCAGTGAAAAGCTGTTCATATTTAGTTTATTTTCATTAAAACATTTGACAGAATTTCTTTGTTGTCTTGGTATGTCTTGGTAGAACTTTTTGTGGACAAACATGACATTGATGATGGAGACAGAGAAGTTTAGTACCTGACACAAAAATGAGAATTTTTTTTTTTTTTAATGGTAGAAAATTTGTTCTAAATTTAAGTACTAAATCTTCACCCGAAATAGTGTAAAATATTTCAGAATTGTCCTTGAACATCTCTATCTCACCATTTTCTGCAATGCTAGTTATGTGGACCTTCACTGATACTTAGATTAATGAAAACATCAGTTGTGCTTCCCCATTGTTTATATATTTTCCTGTGCAATGTTTGTATCCATGGATCATCAAGAACCATAAAAACTATTTGAAATTTTTTAGCTGAAGACATTCATTGCAGTTCCACTTGGCTTCAGTTGCTTAAAGAATGGAAGAAGGTTTAAACACTTCCACAAATATATTTAAGGGGAATACATAGATAGAGAAATATTCACAGTATATAAACATTCATGTAAGGTAGAGCTGTGTCAAAGAGGTTCCTGTAGTTATTCCATGCAATAACTAGCAAATCTGTAAAGAATAGATGCACTGGCTCTCAAATTAAAGTCTGCTTTGATGCCTGCTTAGGAAACAGTGCCTCAAAAGAAATTTGTTCATGATGTATAATTTCAGAGAAGAATCTTAGATTTACTCTGTGAGGCTTTTATTAAGTAGACTTGAGACCTTCGGGGATCGAGACCTTCTCAAAAATCCAAAGCAGCTACTGACCTCAGGGGCACAGCAAACCAAAAAATATGATCTGTAATTGTCAGGCATTAGAAACGATGTGAGTCATATTTTGAAAAATGAAATTATGACTTTATACGAGTAAGCCTCTTTCTCTCCTTAATGCAGTGGGGTATTTGTTTCAGCTTTTAAAATAAATTTCAAATCTATACAAAAAATAAATTTTTAGGTATTTTTGTAAACTGCTTAGAAATGCGAACCCACTGGGAAGAGAAGGAACAAGCAGGTTTCCATCCTGCTTGAAAGGCGTGGATGTTCTGCCAATAACGCACTATTTTATACTGATATTAGTAATGTGATTCTTGGTTAAGATATGGTTGACTTGAGAGACACTGCTGTACAACTGTAAATAAAGTCAAGGTTTTGTTTGCTGAATGAGGTAAGCCAAATGCAAGGCACTTGCTAGAGTGTGCTGTGCTCCATACAATGCCCTCGGTTGACCCTTATAGAAATTGTTGAAATTCTAATTTCCTTGCACTTTCACTGCTTTACAAGGGTCTTCATGTTTACAGCCTTCACCATCTGCACAACTCTTTATTCTTTCATTCTTATCAGAGAATCTTGCCATCAGAGAGGGCATGAAGAAGCCTCCCTTCTATAGCACATAATTTCAAAAGCCTTTTTTATTAAAGTGATCTTTTCACAATTGTCATTGAACTTGCTTCTCCAGTTTGTAAAGCCTCTGTATTTTAAAGTGCTTTCTAGTACGTATTTTGAACATTATGTAGGTTACATTATTTCAGCTTTCATCTGTTTCTGGGATGTGAAATGTTTTGGGGGTTTTTTTGTTGGGTTTTTTTTTTTGCAAGATCATAGGAAAAATTCTGTTACTAATTAACAGTAACATAGTTACAATTCTTTTGCTAATTATTGCTACTATTAATATCTGCATTACTAACACTGACGGTCACCGGCATTTCAGTTTGTGACACAGTGCTGCTGATGGAGCTGAAATATGCCATTCATAGGTAAAATGGTGATGTTGATCATAGAGTCTTAGTGACCTGCCAGTGGTCCTTAGCTACAGCTGCCTAGATCTCACCTGTGTAGGTACATTTGTTTCTTTTCAAAGAGACCCCAAAGAGTGGATTGAAATGTGCAGCAGCGCTTTTGTCATCAGAGATTGTGCCTGGGAAGTCCCAGCAGGCTCCTTTCCTTTATCTCTCCCTTGTCTCCAGTGACAGTGTCATGAGCAGAAGTGAGCTCCTTTTTCATGATATAAAGAATCAGTCTTTTTTGGCCTTGTGTTCACAGTCTAAGCATACTTTCAGCTATTCACTCTTTTTTTTGGAGTTACAGGTACATTTGCTTGCCAAAAGGATCCTCTTCATCATCTGTTTAGTCAGATGTTTGTGCCTTTTCCCTGTAGATCTCATAGTTGCCACTAATCTCCTGGCTTTTTAGATTCCTAGATTACTGTCACACTTTGGGATGGAACACATAGGGATGTTAAATGTATTTGTTGGTACTACTATTTGTTTATTGTGAGGGACTGACCTTGTTTGTAGGCTACTACAGAGTAGTACAGTAGTAGCCAAGAACATCACAGTGTGTGACAGATTTGGGTGTATATTTAGTTTTGAGAGAGGAGATGTACTGAGTGAGCAGGGACTTAAAGTATGCAGAGATGGGAGGAGTAACATTGAGTTCATGTGGCTCATTTAAGCCACCAAAGTTCTAAAATCTTTATGACACAGACTTGAAATCTGTGCGCTCACAGGTTAAATCTTGTATTGTGTTTTACAGTATTATTATGAAAAAATGAATGGAAAGTATTTGCCAGTTATTTTGCCGTTACTTACCTCTGGATGCTCCCAAAAACATTTTCACTTACTCCATTGGAAAGTACAGATGTGTGATTATATGATCTAAATGGTTTATTATTCTTCACAGTTAATGCATTGAGTTGTTTATATCCTGCATTCACAATAGCTGTAACGAAGTTTTAAATAATGTATCTTGGTAGATGCATTTGGTAAGAATCTCTAAATGTATTTAGTTCTGCTAAACATTGTGGAATAATATGCTGCATGCTCTGTGGAAGTATTTAAGCTGAAGGCTTGAGATGTGAGCGTGGCACAAGCCATACGCCCACTTACTCAATGCAGTATTTACCAGCTAAGTTGAATTATTTAGCAGTATTTCTCTCTTTTCATAGCCTTTCATGTCCCCTCGATACCCTGGAGGTCCAAGGCCACCTTTAAGAATACCCAATCAGGTAAGAATTTGTCACTGGTGCACCACTGTGGTCCAGGGTGGTGGTGCATTGCTGGGAAGAGGGAACGTTGCCTTGTTGGCTACCAGTGACTCATAGGCTACAAAAGTTGTGCAGTCCCTCTCTGTTCTGTTTTGAATGACCATTAAATAGTTATTTTGATAAGGTGTGGCCATGCCACTCCCAGCTCAGTTTCCTATGCTTAATTAGTGTCTACATTTCAAAACTTATTGTGCATTAAGCCTGCTTACAGAGTGAGGATATAGTTGCCTTGTGTGGTGCTGCATTAACCTCAGCCAGCTAATGCTGCCTGCTCTGAGATGAAGGCAGAACAGCCCCATAGCTCTTACAGTCTAAACTTTCCTAACCACATCAAGCAGTTAGCTCTGAAATATTTTTTTACTTAATTCTACATAAAATGCATAACTCCTTCCTGTTCTTTGTTGGATACATGAAGTGTATTTATTTCAAGGTTAACATGGTGATGATTGGTGAGAAACAGATATCATTAAGTGCTCTGTGTGTGACTCTTATAGACACTCTGAGGACTTTATAAAAGCATCAAATTCCCAATTTTCTCTCATCTCCATCAAAGGATAAGCATGCCAGTGTAACAAGAATGAGTAATGAGCTGCTGTTCGTCAGCAGAGACCTTTATTGGCCCATCTGTGAAAAAAATGGTTCTGGAAGCAGATAGCATTTGTATTTTTAAGTTCTCTATAGTGCAGGGAGGAGGAGAAATCGGTTGTCAATAGATGAAAACTTAGAGATAAGCAGACAGAAAAATATTAGTGGAGCTCTGAAGGAAAAACGGGGTCATTTACAATATTGTGAAAGGTTGACAGGACAAATTGAATGAGTTTTTTGGTGCAATGTAGACTTCCAAGACTGTCTTTCTTGTTGTCACAGGTTGATGGGGACGCTTTTCTGCTCCAACCTCAGTTCTGGTTAATTTTTGTATCTGTATAACACAGTGTCATCCAACTTGTCTTGAGCACTGACACAATGTTGCCAGAAAGTTGAAGTTTAAAATTTAGTGAGCTGGATATATCAGATCACAAGACTTCTTCAAATGTTCCTCCAAATCAAACAGGGTAGCGTTTGGAAGCAGGTTCAGTTACTTGTAATTAACCTTGTTGAAGTGATCATCAAGGGACAACATGAGAGTGCAATAGCATTAGCCCTTCAGTTAAATATTTGCTGCAGATATACTGTAACTGAGTACAAAATATCTTCCTGATTTTTGCACCTTTCAGTTCTATCTTAACCAAAGATACACCAGTGTTTGGGTTTCACATATTCCTTTGTTTTCCTTTCTGTGTATCTAAACACTGTAAATACTGGCAGGTAGAAACTGGATGTGGTGAATGCTGTGAAAGCACTGCCAACGTTCAGTCTTAGTTTCAGAAACATTTTTGTCTGCACATTGTGATATTTTCAGTTCAGAACTGTAACATAATCACATAATCTTAGTGAATTACAGCTTTCGCAATTCATTTACATTATGCTACATCCATGAATTACTGCTTTTAACAACGCTGCCATTTTTTAAGTTACAGTGTATTGAAATAAGATGGGCAGTGTATGGAAGTAATAAACTATTGTGTAGCTTTGAGGCTGAAATTTTGATTAGGTGGGAGTCGGTAAAAATCAGAGTTGATATTCCCACTGTAAATATAACTCTATCCCTTAATGCCTTGCAGTAGGGGTTGTGTTTCTTAAGCAAGGAAGGGTAAGACAGGGCATGCCTGTAAGGGTTGTCTGAGCAAGATCTGGGCTTTGTAGCAAGGGAAGTTGTTACCTACCAAGTGCCACACGAGTGGTCCTGAAATGCCTCTAGTACTTGATCACGTCTTGCGAGATCAAGCCCTACCAGGGTATTTGCTGTTGGCAATGCATCGTGCTGTGCAGGTGCACTTGTTTTTATTGAAAAGTGGTGTGACATCTTAGAAAGGAACTGCAGTCCCTCGTGTAATGATTCACAGTGTGATGACTGCATGAGTTAAGTCTTCAGTCATGTGTGCCCACACCAACAAATGCCTCCATGTCCTTGTGTGTCACCTGCCATCTCTGGCAGAAGTGACCAGTTCCTGCTTTGCTAGTATTTAATGCTTCTCCATACACTTAATATACTCTTCTTCTGGATCATCTAGACTTCAAGCCACTGAAGTACATGTAAAACTGTAATTTAAATGGTATAGTCTCAGATTATTTGTTTATTCCATTAATTTGGCAGTGTAGTTCCTTTTGACTGTTACCTTCGAGGTAAAAACGTGCATCTTAATTTTGAGTTTCCTACCTCTTGTGGAAACAAACGGTATTTGCAGGTAGGTTCCCCTTTCTATGTAGCCAAAGCTACTACAGTATTTACAGGTCAAGAGTAATTTACCTATTCCCTCAGTAAGCAGTATCTGTATTGCCTGGGTGGATTACTTCCATAATAACAGATTTACTCATTCTGCATATATTTATACTTAAAATGTGTTTTGAAATGCTAAATAGCACCTAGTGGATCAGCTGCAAAGATCCATTCACAAAAAGATTTTTATAGTTGACTAAACTATAGGTAAGAGACTGTAGAAATTAGCCTTAAACCTAATTCAGTTACTATAAACCCAAATGGCAGATTAAAAATGTGGGACATAGAAGCAATGCGTTTTATTTGGACCAGAGGTGAAGTAACAATGCAGTGTACCTTCATGCTTGAAGGAAAGATTTAGGAGCAAGTTTTGTGACTGTTGTTATCTCCTGTAGATGAATAATAAGCTTATCTTGGCACTGATGCCCTTCAAGAGTAAGGCAGAGTGGAAGATGTCCCCCACATCTCAGCCCTAATTAACCATACCCTGTGAATGCTGTTCAGCTGGCTCAGTTATGGCTTCCTCTGTCATTGTCCGCATCCTGACCTCTGAAAGGAAACGTTAAAATAATTATTAAAAGGGAAAACTGTAGCAATATAGGTTTTGGATAAATCACCACATACCCAAGAAAAAGGCAGTGTTTGTGGGTTCCAAAATAAGTAAACTAAAGTGAAGAAAGTATTCAGGGGGAAAAAAGCAAATTAGGCAGTTATATTTTGGAGATTATTTATACTTAATTCCACAGCAGTCCAAGAGTTTGTCCATGCAAATCCATAGACAGGGCTGTAGGACATTCAGGACTTGCAGATTTGTTTAGGTACTTAGGACATTTAATTGGGGCATTTAGGAAAGTTAAGACTGCTACATTGCTCTTGATTCAGAAGAAACATCTGGGAATTAAAACCAAAATACCTGCATGCTGTTAACTTATGGTTTCTATGTGTGCAGGCACTCGGAGGTGTCCCAGGAAGTCAGCCATTATTGCCTAGCGGGATGGACCCAACACGGCAGCAAGGTGAATGAAATAATTATTTAGACCATTCCAAGTACTGTCTTCTCAAACTTGAGACTGTCTTTCTATGTTTCAAAACTTAGTGCAGCTTTTTAAGCTTTTTATTGATTAAAAAGGAATGATTTGTTAAAGTTGTTTCGAAAGGTGCTTGTGTATTGCATTTTTTAAGTTACATAATTTTATTTCCAGGGCATCCAAACATGGGTGGGCCGATGCAGAGAATGACTCCTCCAAGAGGAATGGTTCCATTAGGACCACAGGTACCTTCCACAGATAAATGCCCATTTTTATTGAAAGGCCTATACTTACACTGTGTTACCCTGGCTTTTCATAGTTTGAGGATGGCCAGGACTTGTTCTTCTAATCCCATTTTAAAATTAACTTTCTGTTTTACAAAAATTAATTCTAAGTTGCAGCTGTACGAAGTCTAAAATGAAAACATCAGTCATTTTAATTAAGATTTGAAATTAAAAGAGGAATCCCTTAATTTGCATATTTCAGAAAAGTTATATTTGCCCTACGGCCTGTGTATATTGTAATCAAAGGCTGGCAATTGTAAAAGGGACCAAGGATTGAGTAGGTGTGTCCTCATCCTCCCAACCTAATACTGTTTAGGAGGAAAGGATTAATATTTCTAACTTAACAAACTCTTTGAGCCAAAAATAACCCCTAAAATTCTATAAAGTTTTTCTTTCATTCACTCTTGATCTAGAGTTTTGGTGAGTGCTAGAGAGATATTAATGTAAAATGAGAAGTTCATGGCGCAGTTTCTCCCCCTTGCCAATCACAAGCATCTCTCTAGCTCTGTTTTTGAGGAGCAAAGCAACCTTGGATTGCAAGAACCAGCTTTCTCCATGGTGCTGACCTGGTCATAACTGTTCAAAGGCTCTTTCTTCAAAAGAGTGAAAATGTTTGTGGATGTTTGTCAGAATTACATTTCAGCAGTTAACTAAGCTAGGAAACAAATTAATTCTGATGCATACCTGAAATAGGAATCCAAAAGATTACTCTGTATTTATCAGCGCTTTCAGTGAGAGAAAATTTAGGTGGTGGTGTTTCAAACTGGTATTGCCAGTATTTTGTTTTACAGTGTGCTTGTTGTGCCCACACTTCACCTATTTACTTCCCCGTTTCAGATAATCTCTCTAGTGACTTCTTTGTTCCTTGGAATTGTAACTGAATTTAAAATTATTAAATAGCTTTGCCTTTCAAATCTGTTCACAACTGTCTTTACAATTTTGGGTCTTCTTGGTTGAAACCAGTTGTGTAGTTCTACACAACATCTGCTGTGTGACCAACAAACTGTTATTAAATACATTTGTTATTTTTTTTCTGTAGCATTGAAGTATATTTACCACTTGCTTTTTGGAGGCAGAAAGAGAAGCTTTGCAATGCTGCCATATGAAATTGAACTGATGCTTTATGCAGCACCATTAGTCACACAGCAGGCAAATCTCATGCCAGTTTTTATAAGGATAATTTTTTCTATTTTTGCTGTCTCTTAAAAGCCAGTGTTTTTATAAGGTTCTTCATTCTTGTACTGAACATCCTCTTAAAATGAGGAAAAATGTAGCTAATCTACACAAAATTTTAAGTTCACAAATCAGTCTTTTCTATAAATGGATCATCATCTATCTATCTTTGTATCTCGCATTTAGGATCTTCTCAGAACGCAGTTCTAAAACCAAATTTCATTAATCTTTCACACCTACATTTAATATCCTCTTGCTTTAAATGTCTTCAGTGCTCTAAAGTTGACTGAGGTGTGCCCACAGCGGGAGGCCCTGCTACCTTGCTGCACAGGCAGTCAACTTGCAAAACCCTTACTGTGCTGATGCAGAAACTCCTATGTCCAGTATAGCAAGTATAGCATGCATATGCTTGAAAACTTACATCAATTTTGCATTTTATGATTCTAGATTGTTTAAAACTAAATAACATGAAGCAAAAAGCAATGGATGGTTGTAAATGCTTGAATCTGTAAAAAAGCTCCAAAGAAGTAGGTTCAGGCTTTTTTCAAGCCTTAGTTTTGCTAGATGAACAGTAGATGACCTACCTCCAATCTCTGCTACTTCTCCCCATCCTTTATATCTGCTGGTGAGCCTCACACATGCTCCCTGATGCTTTTTAGTGAAAAATAATTGGGTCATCTCAAACATTTAACAAAAAAAAATATTGTCTAATCTGGCTTATTTTGGCCACCTGATGTTAGGGAGCATTTTTGTGAACAACTCAAGTAGCAGATAAACAGTGGTGGTGGTGGCTTTGAGTAAAAAGGTGGAAGAAACAAATTGGGACACTACCTTCTGCAGAGACCATAGCTACAGCTAAAGGAACATGTATATTGGTAGCTTTAATGAAAGCACTCTTACTTTAGGACAAAGGAGTACATTTGATTAGAATTAGCAGTAATTAGAGTTAGAAGTACCTTTGATTAAGGTTCTTGCAGTCCTGCAGAATTCTGTAGAAATATTTAACCCTGGTCCACACAAACGATTCCAGACTTTAATTAAAGAAGGGAGCTACCAACCAGACCAAATGTAGAGAATGGCTCAGCCCCCCACATCAGTGGGAAGATGAAATAAGGCAGATAAAAACCTGCTGTTTTGTTACAGTCAGACTGTGTTCTCTTCCAGCTCCAGTATTGCCAGCTGGGGATGTTACTGTGCCCAGCTGCTTTGACTACCCACCAGTTCTGCCCTACAGTTCTGACAGGGGTTGCTCAGGCAAAATCATCTAGGATAACCTAGGTTAAAGAGGAGGTTTGAGTTAATCTGACTGACTTTTGCCTGAGCATGCACACCAATCAGTCTACAGGCTGCACACAAAAAGGCAGGAATGGGTAGTGATTGATGACCAGCAGCTGTGGATGTTACCCCGACATCTCTTTGCAGCCTCTGGTTGGCATCTTCTTGCAAACCAGCTATCGATGGGACACTTTTAAGTTAACAATTTTAACAATGAAGAAAATTTTAAGTTTGGGGTTTCTGTTTACAGCAACAGAACCTCTTCTCCGCTTACAGTTGAGTTATAGATAACTGATGTGCCCTATCAGTCAAGGTATAAACAGCACCAGACGTACACTTCGAATATCACTGTTAGATTTCTCCCGTGTATTTGTGAATTCATGCTTACATGGTTTTGTGAATCAGACCAATATAGAGAGCACCCATAGGCCCAAGTCATACAGTTGAAGCAGTTTGTAGTATACTGTACATGAAATAGAGTCTATTAGTTTTATTATTGGAAAACAGACTGCAAAAATTACTTGGATTTTTTTAAAGTAAATTGCTTCTTTGTCTCCTCCTGCTTCCAAAATGCTTGGCTGTTCATTTTAGATAATTTACTATTATCCATTCTCTAGAAATATCAGAAGAATGTAGCAGGATTAAGACTGATTACAAAGTGCATTATGATTTGTGGGATGAGATAGACTGTTCTGCTTGTGTTCATCTGAATAAAAATAGATCAAATTTAGTGTTTCATGTAAATAGTATGGTTGAACTTCTGTTGTAATATCAGAGCATGAACTCAGATTTTATAGGCATTGGGCAATTCATTTGTTGGCATCGCTATGACATTCATTATCATATTAAATACTTTTCATATTAGTTACCATAGACTTAGTAGAATTGACTGATTAGAAGAGAAATGTAGTGTTTATGCTGTATGATATAAAAGTGATATAATATGGTGTAATTTTATACAAGCATTTATTGTTATCCTTAAAAAAATAATTAAATAATAATTCTATTTACATTCCATGATGTAGAAATCTTAGAATCTAAGTCCAGGTTTCTAATTTTGAATGAACTCCCTTGGTGTAAAAGTTGAATACATTATAAAACCTGCCCCTTGCTGACCGTTGATTTGACCTCTTTATGTGTAAATAATTCCTCCTTAAACAATTGACATTTCACGTATTCTTAGTCTATTTCTGTTGTTTGTAGTTCTTTTCCCTTGGGGTTAACAATATTATTTTTTTAAGTCAACAATGGAAACTCCTGAAAGAATTAATTACATTGGCCTATCCATTCAGCAGTTACCTGGGGATATCATTAACCTGCTGTCCTTTCTTTCCCCCTCCTCTTTGGTTTTGTTTTTTTGTTTTGTGGTAGTCTGACCCTTGGTTATCATTGCAGAACTATGGAGGTGCAATGAGACCCCCACTGAATGCTTTAGGTGGCCCGGGGATGCCTGGAATGAACATGTAAGCACAATAATGAAATCTTATAATATTTAGAAAAATCATTATTTTGTTGTAGAAGTAACATTTGGGATACATAAGACAAGGAGAACGTGCTTTAATAAGTAACATGCTTTGATGATAATAACTGCAATTTTAAAAAGTGAAGCCACAGCAGTTTCCTTCTTCTGCCTGCATCTCTTACAGGTGCCTTTGCTGTCCCTACAGTCTGTACAAATACTCAGTTTCTTTCACAGGTCAAAGTTCAAATATTGGGAATATTTTGTCAGTATAGTCACCAATGTATCCTTGTATGCATTTTTTTTTTTTAATTACATTATTTACATTTATGTTTTTACTTTTCTGATTCAATATTTTGTAAAGAATGGTACAAGTATGATTCTTTTTTGCAAAATAAAAAAGTGCTTAACGTTAGCAAAGTAAAACCTATGTCTAGAACTACTTATATAAAAAGGGCATATTTGGAAGAAGAAGTGTGGATGATTCTCTCTCTGTTGCTGTTTTTATTTCCATAATTACATTTATTTCCACTCTAAGCAGATAGAAGAGTGTTACAGATACGAGTGTAAGGTTTTCAGTGTTTCTATGTACTTCTGGGACTGGATCATCATTTGGTAAAAACTGATAAAGACTGACTTCAGTGAGGCCATACTGATTTATTCCAGGCATGGAATTAGTCATGGGAGTGTATTATGCCATTTATACCTGTAGAAAATCCCCATTTCTAAGTGTGTAGAAGAACTTCAGATGTAAAATTGGTGCATCTAGAGTAGACTAGATTTAAGCTGAGGACATCTTCTGCACTTTAGATAAATATTTTGCTTGCTTGGAGTTGCTTGCATAATTAGCAAGCCTGGAAAAAGACATAAGATACTCCTTGTATTATTTAGATTCCTCTCTTAGGAGATTTACAAATTGTAAGGGACTGCTATAGTTAACCTTTACCATACTAGACCAGAGATGATCAAGTCATTCTTGTATCATGGGCCTGCCTCTACTGAAGTTAGTACATTTTTTTCATAACCACTGTTTTGCAGACCCTGAGGTGATCACAGAAGGCAGCATTGTGGTCCACCAATCAAGACAATAGCATGATTTTATAGCCTAAAGCAGAGAACATGTTCTTTCCTTACTCCTTTTACACCTTTGTCTTTCAAGAATGAGTTTTCAGCAGATTGACAGAAAAAACACGGTGAAGATTTATATGTGTTTGTTATCATTATATCATAGATACCCAGACATACTTTGAATTCTTGAAGCAAATAAAATAAAATATAAAGTTGGGTGTCTATCATAGACATCTTATATTGGGCTCAAAGACAATTCTAGGAGCTTTCCCAGGGGCAGGCATTTCTTCTTTTAAATAAAGTAGATGTAGAAAAAATATTTAGATATTTTAAATTCAGTTTGAGTATAATATAAGCACCACAGAGATTGTCCTCAGGAGGAAATGGAATTATAAGAAAAGAAAATTAACTTTCTAAAATAAAATGTTGTAGAAGTAAAATTGAGGATAGATAAGATATTTTGAGGCTACTTATCCACATAATTGAGAGTTTACGTAGGAAAAATAAGAAAACAGTTTCCTGGGTGACAAGAAGAACTCCTGATCTGCCAGAAAGAAAGAAGTTGGGTTGAAATACTAACATTTTAATATTACAGCATTTAATAAGTGCATTTCATCTTTTGTTGAGCCAGTAGACATACCTAGACCATGTTCTTTTAATTCAGTGATGTGAGGATTAAATTTTCCTTTAAACTCATGGCGTTAAACTCTTGAAGGGGACGCCATGAATTGGAGTCCTTTCCTTGGGAAATTCATGGACTTTAATACAAGTGCTAGTATTGCAATGTTATGCTATAGCATATCCTGACCTGTGTTGCATGATGAATTGCAGACCTTTGTAAGGAGCTCCATTATTGCATGCCTGACTACATGAATAATTTTTTTACCATCAAACTGAGTATTTTTTTCCCCTCTGTCAAATGGAGTGACATTTACCAATCAAAATGAAAACAAAGAGGTTACTATGGTCTGGATTTCTTATAATTGTATTTCCAGGACATCAGGGGTTTTTTCTTACTGTAAAATTACTGCTGTCAACATTGTCCTTACACAGAAATCTTAGCAAAGGCTCATGTTCTGGTCAGCCCAGCATTCAGGATCAGTCAGAGTTCATCCAAGGATAACCTGCGGGCGATGGCAATAGACAGACCCAGCTGTGTCAAGTGCTTCCTTTGTATTATCCCTTAGAATTTTTCCAATGCACAATGCTTAGAAATAACAGTGTAAAGTCATTTAGTGTAATTACAGGAAACAGGATAACTGTACATAAAGTTGTTGCCTTATAGTAACATACATTTGTCTTTACATAGCCATATCCTTTTCTTACATGAAAATGTTTCAGTGTTCAATATTTTGTATTTTTGGCAATGTTAAAATATAAAAATATGTACTGTTCAAAAACAGTTGCCATTTAAAATACAGCTTTTTCTCCTCAGGAAGCATGAAAGGAAGCTGTTTGGTTAAGAGCAGAATATCTGACAAGTGCAATTTTACATTTTTCTGGTTGAAAATGTTTTCCTTCATTGTCAAAAATGGCAACTAGCTTGTGAGCTCATAGGCAGTATTTCAGTCTAGGAGCATATACTGCACAAAACTAGTACTGTAAAATAATTGCTTGAGCTGTCATAACTAATGCCCATCAGATTACTGTTTGAAACAGCTGACAGATATCCTATGTTCTTCTACAAAATAACTTTATCTATAAGGTTTTAAGTTGAAACTCAGTGTAGCCATTATTAGTTAAGATTTTATTTCTTTGTGGGAAAATGCCCTATCTGGTGCAAAATAGCAAATTTCAGGGAGCAGTGTTAGATTTCACTGGCACTTTTTAATGGCCAGTGTGACCTGCAGTGCTGTCTCAAGCGCTAAGAATATCTCAGTCATACCTGAAAATGTGATTTTGTTTTTTAACTTCAATTCACAGATTTGTAGCTAGAGGGTTAATTTCCTAATTGAATATATTTGCCCCTTGGGAAACTGAAATTTTAGACTTTATTTTTTTAAGTACTTGGATCAATGCTGTAGGACTAACTTTAAGGATAAAATGAAATTTTATAATTAAAAAGCGATAGATACTTAATAAATTACTCTATTTTGGTACTGATACATTTATAAATAATATTTTATGACTCTGTTGATGCTTACAAATTAAACATTCAGTAAAGGGCAAAAAATCTGCTTTCATTGCATTGAAAAAAATTGCAGGTAGCTTTTTTTAATGTGTGTTTTATAAGCTAAGAAAAAAATTTGGTCTCAGCAAAAAACCATATGGCTTTCCAGCAGAATCTGCTACACTGTTTTCTAAGTCTATACTTACAGCTGCCTGTGGTTTCCAGTAAATTTGCAAATTCAATATTAATCACAACTGTTTTGCATTTGATGCTTTTCACTAGATATATTTTTGTTACTTAATGTCACACAAACAACTGCAGGGTTTTGCAGTGAAAACAGACTTCCAGTGTTGTTACAAATACTCCTGTTTTCTCTGAAAAAAAAAAAAACAAAGGATCCAATAAACTAGATACAGTACATAGAAAAAAAGAAAAACTTTTAGGGAAAAAAGAAAAAGAAAACCTAATATTTCACCTTGTAATCGTTAGCAGAGGAAAAATTGGTGAATATTTGGTCTGAGGAGCATGTGATTCCCTTTCCTTGCTTTGCCTCTCCTCCTTCCAGTGAATCAGGCATAAAAGACCCTCACCTGCATTCCTATGTTCCAACCTTCAAAAAATAATACAAGCAATTGATTGTCTGAGCTAATTTCTTTATAGTTTCATCAGCAATGTAATTAAAGAAAAAAAAAAAAAGATTCAATATTAAATCCCATGGGCAACATATATACTTAGTAGTTTTTAGTTTTGTAAGACTTTAAAATAGATAGAAAACTTCCTGAACTCATTAATAAATCCTGCTTTCTTCTCTATATTTAAATCTCTTTCCCAAGTCTCGAAAGCTGTGGTGGCTGATGCTACTTTTCTAAAGGTAATGAGGCCAAAATGCCTCATTTAAAATTTTGAAGTTTTGTCACCTGCTCTGCCTCTCAGTTGTCAGAGCCTTCAAAAAGTGATTTCATCTTATTTATAAATAACTCAAAGTTCTTAATGCTCTCAGGAATAATTATCGTTAGGGATGTTATGACTGTAAACATGGAGATTTTACCTCCCATATGGCTTCGTTCCCTCAGGACTGTTAAAGGACAAAGCCCAACCACCCAACTATTCTTCTGAGCTCAGCTAAGAGCAAGACACTTAATAACAGCAAGAGCTGTAAGAAAAACATGCTCTATCTGGACTATTTTTCCTTTTTTCCTTTGCCCTTTCCCTTCTGCTTTTAGTACCCCTCTCGGAGGTACATCTTGGAGGAGATGTCTCCTCAGACTTGGCCTTATCAGAGACATCTTCTGCCTGCGAAACGCTCTGGTCCCTCCTGCTTGGGAGCTGCCACTTAAATCATGTGTCCACCATTTGGGCCAAGTGTAACCAGCATGTCTGAAATATTTGAAATTTCCATTTGCCTGCTGTATGATAGATTTCATGTTTCCGTGACTTCTGTGGAGATAATGTAGCCCTAGTCAAGTAGCAAACTGTTTTTAAATACATATCTAAACATATGTTTAAAGTGCATGTATAAAATGGCATGTTTTCAATTTTCAATACCTGGGATTTATTATTGTTATAGTTGTTATTATTAGTAGTATTATTATTAGTATTATTATTATTACCAGATACAGGTTGTAGCAACGTATTTTCTGTGGCTTGTTTTTTTAAAAAACAGGTTTTCCCAAAACATTTGTAAGGTACTATCATCAGCACTAATGAAACTGTACTATACTTGTGGTATTCTAGATCCATACGCAATAGATGCATGCAACCTCATTTCTTCGGGAAGGTACTTAATTATGTGAGCAAGAGTACTGTTTTGATGACTGAAATTACACTTATATTTTACTACTTTTCTACCTTTATCTGTACTGTAAGTAGACTTTCATGGAATATGTGATACTTCCTCCAGATATTTTGAAAATAGGTTAACAGAGTATAAGGAGAAACTTAAGTTCCTTATGGGAACTTAAAAGAACTTGAGAGGTTGTTTTTTAGTCTTTGCAAAACTTCTGTGCCACATTAAAATGCATCTATGTCACACAGACATGAACAGAAAGAAAACACTTCAAGAGACACAAATTTGCAATGTCTTCCAAATTGTTCCATTGAGAATATAAAAGGGGGGATGTCTGGCACTTGCTAAATTTGCAAGTTTTTGGGACCAATGCAAAACTCTGCCACCTCCACTGCAGCCGCTGGCAGTGTTGCTGCTGGGGAAGGACTCCTTAGGGTGCCATTCTGCCAGGTCCTGTCATACAGAGTACACGGATGGTACATGTCTAAAATGTGAGTGGCAGGCTTGTAATAAAAACAAATTACATTTAATCAGCTCATAAATGGATTAAATAATAATGGTAGTACAACAATCAGCATTTTGGTATTGTGTTATCACTTGGCGTAGTTTTGGTTTATAAACACACTTTAATTTGAAAAAAGCCACCTCCTTCCTTACTCTAGAAACAGATTATTTTGATTTGCTTCTTCAGAACTGGTCAGAAGATGGGGATTGTTCTGTGTTTCATCTTTCATCTTCTGTTACAGGGGCCCTGGGGGTGGTAGACCTTGGCCAAACCCAACCAGTGCCAATTCTGTAAGTAAATATTTAAAATATATTAGACATCATCTTATATTTAGGGGCGTATTTCTCATCAGTACACCAGGAAAAAAAATCCACTTCATTCAACAAATAGAGCACTGCATGGTTTGTATTTTTCTCTGTAACCCTAATGCAGAGCAGGTACAGTGAGGAGCACATCTGAACTGAGAGCTCATTGACCTGCAAATATCCAGCTTTGTTCATCATCACACAACAGCTCTGCATCTGTACATCAGTTACAGCACTTCCATAACACAAAGGTTATCCTGGAGTATATTTAAGATACATTTTAGCTTCCTTTGGTGCAAGTAAGATGGGTTAGGTCAACACTATCTGGCCAGCAAGCTCTGCAGAAATCACAGCTTGTTAAGATAGATACAGCTTAGTGTGTGCTCACATATTTTACATAAGAAAAGCACATTTACTGCTCTTAACTAGGGAATATGGAATCATGGAGCCATTGTTTGCAAGACATCAGCCATTTTTATATGCTTTTTATAAAAAGCAGTGCACTCTATTGAATTTCATTGCAACAACTACAAAATGAGGTAGTCTAATAGCAGCTTGAAGGAGGAGGAGGTCAGTGGGGCATCCCACATGATCAACAGTGTCCGCTATTTCTTCAGAAAACACAAAGGTAAAGTTTTAATTTTCATTCAGTGATCATACATTATTAGTATAAAAATCTGTCCCTTTTTAGCACTTGCAGTTGGGTAAGATGGGTCTGGTTTAGCAGACTAGCCTGGTTCTTCCTGTTGTTCTCAATTTTGATATTTTAATTCTACTAATGAAATGACAGTCCTGGGGGGAAAAAGAGCTGAAACTCTTCTTTGGTTTTCTTTTGCATGTACTCAACTAAAATGTTGAATGGATGTTAGGATGTTGTTCAACTGACAGTTTAAATATTTTAATTCTATTAACTTAATTGAGAGGTCCAGTATTAGAGGTGTTTGTAAAACTTAGTTGGCTGACAAGTTGTCCACAATCATGTAAGATACTTATGCTACAAAATAAATTTGTATTTTATCAGTACAGTGTCTTAACTCTTACTGCATCCTCCTGTAACAGCATTGGTCTATGCTTCTTCAAAAAGAGTAATTGCAAAGGCTATCATGAAGAAGAAAACAGGATTATTCATAGGCAACTGGATTTGTCCAGGTATCCTCTGTAACAAATACTGCAGTTGAATTTGAAATTAAAATAGACACTGTCCTTTTAAAAAAAGAAGAATAATACAAATAAATAAAATTAGTGTCTTATAGGGTGAAAGATACAAGACAGTTGCTTTTCTGTTTATGGTGAAGATTTTAATCAAGATTAAATATATATAACAAGATACAAATTCACTCTATGCTTGAGATGACTCTGAAGTCCTATTAACTTAAATGCAAGTATATACTGCTTAAGTTTATAAACTTATAAGCATATTACCTTAATAATCTAATAGCTTAACAGTTTACTATCGACTGCAGATCTTTACAGATCTGTTGTGGCTCCTGCAATAAAAATAAGAAGAATAAAATAAGAATAAAAGAGGAATAAAAAGATAAATAAAAATAAGAATAAAAATAAAAATAAGTTGTAGGTGCAAGAACTGAATTGGTACTGGAACTTGTAACTTGGTATCTTAAAAAGGTGATGCTGACTGTTAAAAATGCATACCTCACTTATGAAACAATGGAGAGCAGATATCAGACCTCAGCCTACAGACATTTAAATGTGTGAATTATGTTACTCGTATTAATTTTGTTAGAATAGCTACCAGGGCATGGTAATCTTAAATGGAAAATTTTTTTTATTGGAAGTATTGGGTATTAAATTTGATTTGTGTCTGTGTTGCTAGTTTTGGACTTGAACATACTTACAATGACAAGTTGTTGAAAAGAAGAGGTGTTTGTTTTGACAACAATGGCATTTTTCCATAATCCTTAACTGTGTCTTTGACATAAATTAAACAAATAAATGTTAACCTACAGCTATATATAAATGTATGTATGGACTCTGTCTCACTGCAGGAGAAATTACTGTTTTGTTTCTGTTGATGTTACAGATACCTTATTCTTCTGCGTCTCCTGGGAACTATGTAGTAAGTACACTTGTGTGTATTTGCTTATTACAATAGATGTTCCATTTGATAGGCTAAGAAATAGCTGTCCAGATGTTAAGAAAGAACCCTTGTGTATTGGTTGAGAACTGAACATCTGATCTGCACTTGGGTTTTTTTCTGTCATCTATGGTGCATATGTTGATGTTCATTACTAGAATCATTATCAGTCTGGTCAAAATTGCCCTGAGTGCTGTTTTATTTCAGCAAACATTTATATAACTAATACAATATAGTCTTCAATAATAAAGGGCAAAAACCAACAATATTGTGTATGAGTTTCTGAACTTCTTCAGAAAAAAAAAGTATTTGAAGAATTGGAACAAGCTTTTATCTCCCCAAAGATATACAAATGGGTCCTTATGGCTAGCATTTTAAGGGAAATTTTTATGATGTTAATTACCTTCTGAAGACTTGAAAATTCTTTTTTTATCCTGTTATGTCTTCATTTCACAGATAGCATCTTAATTTGTTATGTATTGGCTGGTATCATTGTATTTTATTTGTCTGTACTTTAGAATGAAGTAGTTAAAACTTTGTAAGAGGCCCAGCATTGAGCTGTCATTCAGAAGAACACAAAATGCTAACTCTTTCTGGAATTTAACAAATACACTTTACTTATCAACAAAATGGGTTTTGTTAGAGCATATACTGTTGGTTTTTGTCTCTATCCTGAGACGTTAACTTTGTTTATCCTTTTAAGCTCTTTATTGTTTTTGTTACTGTTGTACTTGGATTATTTGCACTTCTGATGTACCCTTCTAAGGCATATTGTTACATCTGTTTTTATGACGTGCTTAGTACTGGTGTCACAGGGTAACAAGGGAGAATTAAATAATTTTTATTTATTTATTTTCCAAATTTCTGCTGGTCAGTCAGGTTTCAGTAGACCTTTCTTCTGGTATTTCATGGTTTGTCACCTGAAGATTAGACAGCTGCAGGGCATTGGCTTTAACCAGCATGAAACCTCAGGCTATTTCAGAACATGGAAATAGCAGGTACTTCACTATAAGGACAATTTACTGGTGTTTTTTCATCTGTTTGTGCTGCTGATAGGTTTCTCTTACTTTCAGTCTCCCTGAAAGAGGTGATCCCGCAGAGCTAAAGCTGAAGGATGAGTTCAAGGATGAGCTTGTTTTGTTTAGACAAAAGCAATTTCTTTTATCCTTTATTTAGCCAATTAACTGTGAAAACGTTTATGATTCTCATAAGTGTCCATAACTGTAGTAGTCATTTTTCCATGTTTAGTGGAAACAGTCCAAATCTGCTGATCTCCACTTCTTTTAATGCAGAACTTCATAAATTTGTCTTTATAGGGAAGAGGTTTTTTTGGTTCTGCACTAGACATTAATGATAAGTTATTGTTGCAGATTTTGAAGATTTTTTTGAGTATTTGACTTCATATTCCTGGGGCTTTTTAAAATATGAAGTCCTGAGAAACTAGAAAAGAACATACTATAGAAAATTACTTTAAAGAAGCAAACTTAAGGAAAATGAAAGTTGTAGTAGTGGACCTTGTTGGTGTACTCGCATCAAGCCAGAGGTCAACTGGGATAATGACTTGGACAAAAGAGAACATCACTGTATTTCAGTGTATAGATGGAGGAGGAGTAAGAGTAAAGAGGTGATCTTTCAGTGACAGTGGTGAGACTGATGCTGGAATGTTGCATCTAACTGGCAACATTGAAGGGAGATTGTATGATATGGTAGAATAAGATAAGATGCAAGAATGAGACACACAAAAAATTAAAGTACTGGAGAAAATGCCTGCGCCTCTGATCAGATGCGCTCTGTGAACTCCAGCTGTGCCGGTGTGAAGCCTTACTGCCTGTTTCCTTGTTTGCACTCTTCTGCTGAAGGTTACCACTCCTTCAGGTCTGCCACTGGAGTCCCTGGATAAGTGATCCTCTTCATCCAAAACAACTTAAGTTGATTAGAATCATAGAATCATAGAATTGTTTTGGTTGGAAAAGACCTTCAAGATCATCAAGTCCAACCAAAAACCTGACACTGCCAAGTCCACCTGTAAACCATGTCCGTAAGCACCTCATTTACACATCCTTTAAACACCCCCATGGGTGGTGTCTCCACCAGTTCCCTGGGCAGCATGTTCCAATGCTTGGCAAACCTTTTGGTGAAGAAATATTTCCTAATATCCAAACTAAACCTTCCCTGGCACAGACTGAGGCTATTTCCTCTTGTCCTGTTGCTTGTTACTTGGGAGAAGAGACTAAGACCCACCCTCCTTTCAGGTAGTTGTAGAGAGCAATAAGGTCTCCCTTTAGCCTCCTCTTCTCCAGACTAAACAATCCCAGTTCCCTCAGCTGCTCCTCATAAGACTTGTTCTCCAGCCCCTTCCCCAGCTTCGTTGCTCTTCTCTGGACGTGTTCCAGCACCTCAACATCTTTCTTGGAGTGTCAGTTGAAGGATTTAAAGAACCAGGTCCTTGCTGAAGCACTTCAGTTGACCCAAAACAGGTGGAGGGACACTCACAGAGGAGCTCCAAGCAGAGCTGAGGCTGCTGCTTGCAGAGGATAGTGGTGAAGCATCTGAGGTGGGCCAAGGGTTGAAATCTCTGCGAGCCTAAATGCTAGCTCAGTGTATGTCCTGTCTGATGCTGAGAGAGTAGTCTTGCTTCAGAAAGGCTCTCCACGTTTTGGAGAAGGAACACATGAACTCCAACTCTACAAACAACTCAATGAGCAAAACTGGGAGTCACAGCTTCCAAGAGAGCAAGCGTTTGAGGACAGGGTGTGGGCTGGAGAGGTCTTAAATCAGCTTGTGAGCCAATGGATTTGTCATCTGGAAGGAGACACTTTTGAGAGCTGAATCTGGTTAATTCATCAGACAGTGTTTGGGAAATAATTCCATTACATATTAATATATTCTCAGAGTGAAAATAGTTGATAGTAAGAAGCTTTCTATGAGAGGAAGATAGACAAACTATGACAGTAAATACGAATTAAAAATTCTATGCAAAAGTTAGTAGTGAAGATAAGTAACTTTTCTAATAATAGTGGTTTCTACACCTCTTTATGTGATGCTGAAAAATATATGTAAACCTAAAAAAATCCAAGTTACTGGGGGTAACTTGTGTTAGTTACCTAATTGAGCTTAGTGCACAATTACATGGGTAAAAAGTCACAGCCTGTGATACCTAGAGGGTCATATATGTGATGCAAAGGCCCTTCTGAATTTGCTGCTGTAGCTCTGCAGCAGCACTGGGGGTTCTCATCGCTGAATAAGCCTTTCAGACAGTTTTGGCAAGCCCAATCCTAACACGTTCATTTCTGATTCAGTTGTAATTTTGGAGGGGAAAAACATTATGTGGCTGCTGGCAGTATGGAATAAAGTTGTGATTATGCCTTGATTTTTATAAGTTGGTCTGTGAGTTCCATGGTGGAGCAAGTCTTTGTTCTAGCACAATTTATACAAGATAAAAAGATTCACAGTGACCTTGCTTTACAAGCAAGGGGAAGCACAAGATAAAGAACTGGTAGGTGGGGTTACCTATAAGGGCATAAAGGTATCTACGTGTTGACTGACTGCAGGGATGTGTTGCTGCTTCTGCATAAAAGATTTCTGTTTCATCTACAATTAACTGGGGGCTGATCACTGGCTGGCAGACAGAGATGCTTCCCCCTGCGAGTATTTTACTTGTACAAACCTGCAGAGGAGCAGTACCAGTCAGGAAGCTGATACTTTACTGAGTTTGACTGTCTGAAAACAGTGTTTGTTAGTATATTGTTGGTAAATGTTTTGTAAGAAATGTTACTTTCAAGTAGGCCTTTGAGAAACAGTGTCTATTGCTTTAAATCCAAGACTTCTCTGCCTCCTTCCAAAATATCTCAGTGAATTATAGCAAATCTCAGCAATGTCCTTGTAAACAGACAGGAACAACCAAACCTTTATGTTCAGTGCTACTGAAAAAATGCTCCTGTCTGGAACAGTGTATCTGCTGTTTTAAAATATAACAAAAGAGATAAAAATATAATGAGTCATATGGCGATGAAAATAATCATCTGTTGTTAGCAATCTGTGTATTTTTAATTACAGAAAGTCAATACTTACTGGCTTTTATTGACACAGACATTTTTACCAAAGTGGAAGTTGGTAGTTTTTCATGTTACTTAAAAATATTAGTGCATCTGCAAACATAGGAAGCAAGAAGTTCTGTTCTTACTAAACAATTTGGCTGTTTAGAATAAAATTATTGGAGAAATTTTTAAAGAAGCTTGTTTAACAAACAAGCTTTAAAGAAACTTTTAAAAAGCTTGTTTAACATCCAGAGCTGTTTGTGTACAGTACTTAGTCATAAACAGATTTGCAACATAGAAATACTGAAACTTAAGAAAGTATATGTTTCTTGAAGAGATTTTTTGTTGTTGTTTTTTTAATCTTTGATTTAGGAGTCTAGGCAAGCGATGTGACTGTGCCCAGCATTATCCTGACTTTTAAAATCCATTTGTAATTAATTTGTGAAGAAATTATGTATACAGATGTTATTTTAAAAAATTGTAAGATATAGTACAGACACAATTAAGATGCCTGTTGCATCGAGATAGCAAGTCTGCCTGAAAAAGAAAGCTTTCTTAAGGTGATTAGGCTTTTCTGTCCCCATAGGACACCCCCTTGTTTTGTGCTTAGCAAACATTGGTTACTCAACAGAGTACAACAGAACAGAAATGCCAGCTGAAAAACCAGTGGTCATAAAAGTAGGTTAAGGGAGTTAAATATAATTGCCTTAGACTCTGCTCCAAGTATTTTTCTTGTCTGACTCACAGCATGACACAGAGTTCTTGACTGTTGGATATTCTTGGGTCTGTATACATCAGACCTACATACATCAGAAGTCTGTGCCAGAGCTTACTGACCAATTATTTTGTCTTACTTGGTGACTAGCTGTTGCACTAGTTTATCAGAAAACATGTTTTTACCAGAGTAACTCACAATATTTATGATACTTTTTCTTTTTCATTTGTACTGTGTTCATTTTTACTGTGATATTTTTTTCCTTTCATGCTAACTTATGTTTTCTACTCTCTCTAGGGTCCTCCAGGAGGTGGAGGGCCACCAGGAACACCTATCATGCCTAGTCCTGCAGGTATTGAAATATACTCAGAAATAAGAAAAGATAATTATAAGGGATTTCAGGAAGTACTCAAAATATTTTCGAGACTTTGATTTTCATAAAGAATCAGTTAATGATAAATTATTGGGTTTATGCTTTCTATTTCAGTTTTTTTTCCTGTGCTTTCACTCTTTCTCCCTACTGTGTTGCACAGATACAAAGCATTGTATCTCTGCAGTTCAGAACAATTCATTTCTCTGGCTTTTGAGCCCATCTTTTCTTGCACAATTTCAGCGATAGCAAGTTAAAAATGAAAGAAGACATAGTCTTTATTTGATTTGGCTAATGTTCTTTGGGAGAATTCCTTGGAAATCTCCTGATGAAACTTGCCCTGTAGTATCCTATGGGATAGACCTGACCAACATGTGGGTCTTGAGTAATGTGTTGGGCAGGTTGCTCTCTTGTGTCTTGCAATGAAGGAGTAAGGCTCCAAAGGAGCCATCATCGTGTCCTACCAGTGATCTGTTGCCAGAACTTGAACTGCCCCATTGTTTCCTCAAGTAAATAACATGGTCTGTATCTTGCAACTTGGACTGCATGGAGATTTTGGCCATGCAAAAGATTGACCACATTCCCACTAAGATTTGAGGAAACAAGGAGGAGGATGGGAGGATTTGAGATGGCTACCTAGAGTTCCAAAGCTTAGAGATAGTCAACTAGGTGCAAATATTTTCTTCCATTGATATTCTGCAAAGATTCTGATATGAAGGTGGAACTACAGGGTGTGGAGGATGCTGTCCTCCTCCATAGACATAATCCAAAATTTGCTAAAATGAAACTGATTATATCTTGTGTAACCCAATATTCAATAGCTACTCCTTTTGGCCAGTATCTGCCTTTGTAACTGACTTTCACCAGCTAAGAGGGACCCATTTACCTCAGTGATGTTACAGCATCCTCTGTCCTTATGTCTCACATGTTCTTGCTGTTCTCTACAGCACAAGAGGGTAGGGAAGTTTCTTCAGTGGCCATGAAAGCTTCTTGTACCAATATAGTATCTTCATTAAATACAATTCCAGGGCTTAAAAAAAAAGACAACCTGAGATAAAGCATAGGGCTTCCTTGTTCATATAATTAGTGAGAAAGATAATTAATACAAGCTGGCATTTAAAAGTTAGAATCTCTTTTAACATAAAACAAATATACGGACGGCAGGACTGTAGTTGTGGCACATCCTGGGCTGTCTGTGTGCAGCTGAAATAATGTGTCTACTGACAGTTGTTCCCATTTTCAGTTAGGAACTCAAAGATGTTTTGAGGCTCTGTTTTCCAAAGAATGAAAACGCTTAGAAATTGTCTACTTGATAATTTTGCAAAGGTATTTACTTGCCTCTGAGATAAACCATCTCTGAGGGTTCCCATCGCCCAACTAGCCCATATGTATTTTCACATGAGCCAGCAGAACATGGGAAGAGCCAAGGATGAGTGTTGCAAAAGAATCTGATGGTTGAAGGACTTGTTGCCTACCTCATTGAACATTAAAAATAACTCTTTATGCAGTAATTTTACTTTGATAACTTCAGGCTAAAAGCTTTTTGTTTCCCCTCTTCTTTAAACAGCATATTTGAACGTGGTGGTGATAGTGCTCTGCATATAATAGAATTATTTACTCACAAAGGTTAATTAATGCTTAGAAAACTGTCACAGAAAGATTAAAGAATAGACAAAGATCGTGATTTTAACTGCCCAATGTACATACAAATACATTCTTGTGGCAGGTCAAGCCACATTCCCAGTTTCAACACATTTCAGTCTGATCTTGGCTTTCTTGCTGTCACTACCTCTGACTCCAGTGTCCCCCGTCACCTTGTCATGGAAAAGGCATTACAGCTCAGCGGTGGTTTTTACATCTGTTGTTAATCTAACTCTTCTGGTTCAAAGAGATGGAATGGTCTCTTGGAGGAGCTAGGTGCAGGGGACTAAGCTATTCTCTTTTCGTTTTGCAGATACTATGGAGGTATTGATTTTCCAGAGTTGACAGTGTTTTTCTAAATCATGCTTGTCCCCTTAGGGATGTATTTAGACTTCCCTTAGGTCATTCTCCTCTCAGTAAACTTTTTCGTTACACGACCTATGTCTTGTCAAGTTCCCTTGGGAAAGTTTTTTGCTTTATTTGTCTACATTCTGCTGTGTTTTTTGCCTTCTGTTTCTTACAAATATTGATGAAGGGTGTCAAGACTTCATCTGTGTTAGCAGTGAGGATAAGTTGGAGATCAGAATGAGTTGTATCTACTAATGCTTCTTAGGCATTGGCTTCTTAAGTTCAACCAGAATAGTTATGTGGGTTGTCTTCCATGAGTCTTGTTAATTAAATCTTGCATTTCAACTCTGGAGGTACTCCACCTGAAAGTTCATGTACATTGATTGGAGGAAGAGGGTTGAGATGCAATATAGCTGTGTTGAGGTCTGGCAAGGCCAAGTGAAACTCTTGGCAGAACTTAACGGGCTTAGGCACCATGCTCTGCCAGGGTGTTTTGTTGGTTTTGGACTCAGGGGTTTTTTAAGCATTGCGCCACACTGTACCATGAAGATCCATCAGTTAAAGCTCTCCTCGGAGCAAGGATCTTTGCACAGTGTTCCACTGAATAGTTACATATGTCCAAAACCAAAGACTGATGTGAGTGAGAATAAAAAATTTTCATTCACTGTACTAACTTGCAGTCTGTAAAATGAGAAGCTATTTATCATTTATTACAGATGGAGAACAAATTACAGGAAGTATTGATAAGAAAGAAATGCCTGTTTTATAGAGAGTATTGAAGATGAGTGAAGTAATTCAGAACTCCAGGAAAAAGGGTTTATGGAATTAAATAGTTATGATACTTGGTGATTTATAAACCTTTTAACAGTCATGCATAAAACTAGAGTCTAGAAGTAGTCACTTAGGGACCATTGCAATTACTCCTTTTCATAGCTCTGTTGTGTGGTAGCAATAGATAGAAAGGGAATGAAATCTCCCATTATATTGCCACTGCGTATCAGTGATTCAGGCACAGAAATAATATGAACAAAATGACAGGAAATGTATTGGGTGAGTAGTTCTGTTGAAAGGTGTGTATATTAGCACTTAAAATAATCTCTTATTACAGATTCAACCAACTCTGGAGACAACATGTACACTTTAATGAATGCAGTACCACCTGGACCCAACAGACCTAATGTAAATATAAATCTAGTTATATACTTCTTTGAATTATACAACTTTTTAAAATCCAAACACTATGTTTCTATCACATGTCATTAATAATAAGTTTTCCATTTTTATGGGTGACACTTCAGTGGCTTCCCCCCCACCATATACTTTTTAATGTTTCCCAAATCAATCATGCCAATATATGCCAAATAATGATCGGGGCATATTTTTCTACATAGGAAAGGCCTTAGAAGCTTCTGCATGTGGATCTTGGGGACAACTTAGTTTGTCACACTGTAGTGACAGGACATCGTCCTAGCAGCTGCCACTGAGCATTAGTTTCTGCAGGATTCAAACTTCTGTTATAAAAATATCTACCCCTGAAAAGGGAGGATAAAACTGCTGAAAATCACCCAGTATTATCTTGTCCTGCAATTCTGTAAAAAAGGATGAAATTAATACCTCTAAGAAGAAGCAAACTTCCCTGTCTGTCTAAATTGCGCATACTTTATTTATAATAAAGTATCTGCCTAATTAACTAGTTAACTAGTGACTATTTTAGCCTAAATTTCAGCAGTTCTAGAACTGACAAAAATCTGGATTCTTAGGTAGAACTTACTTCTTCTCTGATCTTTCTCTGTGCCTTCAGTTTTATCATATTTCTCTCATTGCATCCATATTTCATTTATTTACAATTCATATTATGGGGCTTTTGAAAAAAAAGCGTATTTCATTGCATCCATATTTCATTTATTTACAATTCATATTATGGGGCTTTTGAAAAAAAAGCCAGTAGAACTCAAACATACAGATGTTTTGATATTGCTAAATCATTACGCAGTGATTTTAAAAAAATTTCTATAAAGTTAATGCCTTCAGGTTTTTGAAGAACTGAATTTAAGGTTAATATCTGAAATTGGACAGAAACTGCTCATGCTGCAAAGGTAATGCAGAGTAGTACAACTGTCAATACGGATAGGGTGGGGTTTGGAAGCTGTTAATCACTTACTCGTTGAAGAGAATTGTAAAATTCCCTGTAACTTCAATGGGAGTAGAACTAGGTCAGCCCTAGCAGGCTTGAAAGTCATACACAAAGTGTTGAAGTAAATAATCAATTTTTCCAAAGTTGTATTTCAGCCTACAAAGGTGAGAGTCTGCAAAAATCATGAAGGTAGCATTGGAAAAGGTGAACTAAAGCAATGATGTTTTTATAGTCTTCACACGAAGGACTTTCACTGGACTTGTCACATTCAGAGCTGGGACTGTGCATTTTTCCTTTTTTTTTTTTTTTTTTTTCTCCCTGAGGAATCTTTTCTTTTTATTAGATTATCTACAAAAAATTGTACAGTAATACTTGTTTTTAATGTCTGATTCTTTTGTAGTTTCCAATGGGGCCAGGGTCAGATGGACCTATGAGTGGACTGGGTGGAATGGATTCACATCATATGAATGGATCATTAGGTAATGATAGTAAATATTATGAACATTGTGAATTTTCAATTACTAGTACCGTTTTCTCTGATCAGTCTCTGAGTGGTGTGGAAGACTGTGTAAAAATCTTTTAAAAACTGAAAAAGCTGTGTATGCATCAATAAGAAGTACTAAGATACTTTTTAAGCATATATATACATAATGCACCTCTGGAAGAAAAAGACTGTATTTTATTTTTGTAAGAGTATAATTTTAATCCAATTGATGAAAAAACATTCTAATGTAGAGGTGAAGGTTTAAGAACCATTTTTATTTACCTCTCTTCCTCTTTCAAAATCTTGGGAAGGTGTCATTGTGACATGCTGATGCATGTTCTAATCAATTACCTGGAAGTAAGTTATTGCATATATTGATGTATGTGTTAAACTGTTTTTATCCCAACATTTTTATATCCTAATTTGTTCTATAATTAGCCATATATCTGTCAAGTATGACCACTGTTACTCCATCCCCATTAGCAGCTTCAGACAGGTGCCAATTCTAGTGCACCCAAAAGAACATGAATTCTTGTCAGGGCATGCAGAGGCAGGAGGAAGGAGTGTACTGTTTGACTTTTGACACTGTGGTTTTTGAAGGATTGTTATCTAGGGGAGAAGCCTTGCACAACTCTGCAAAACACACACTGCTTATCTCCTGACTGTCCTAGCAAACTCTTTGCTCTTAAGTCTTTGCTGGAAGGATGATAGACACTTGAAAGGGATTTAAGAAGCAAGCCACAGGTAAAGAAATTGCATTTATACCTTCCTCTTCCATAACCACAAGGTAAAAAAATACCTTGTGTTTATTTCTGCTCATACCATAACACCAGACCAGTAGCTCTGAATACAGTTCTTGTGTTGTGCTCTTCGCTTCTGTCTGCACCAAGAGGTGTCTGTCAGTCATGCAGGCAACAACAGGGGGGAACCTCAAGCTGCAAAGACTTCAGATCTCTTTCTTCTTCTATCCCCCTGGTCCACCAGCAAGATTCTCTTTTACATCTATGAGCTGGCCCCATGCCCACAAGGGGCACCAGCAACACTTTCTCCTTTATGGGGAGAAACCCAAGCAAGCTAGATGTAGGTGAGGCAGGCAAAAGCCAAGCTGAGCTGTTCCCCTTGCTTCTATTCACAAAGAAAAGCTCTGTCACCTTCTCAGAACAGGCCCGAGGCAACCTAAACTCCATACCATTGAACTCCACACTGACATGGTGAGTGGAGATCCATCACTTGTAGCCCAAAAGTTGGAGGTTGTGAGACAGGAAGTTTAAACAAGTAAGACAAAGGGAAATGCTTGAAGAGGCTATGGCAAGATGAGCAAAAACCATCAAACCTCATTTAGCAAAATGTTCTGAATGATTAAAATTCAGCAGTAGGCATCTATCTCCTAATAGAATTATCTTTTTTTCTAGGAAAGCATGTCCCTGAAATTCCTAGATTACTTTGCATAAGGACACCTTGTGATTTTGCAGCCTTTCTTTACACATTACAATCCTAAAGTGGATTGTTGCTTTATTTAATAATGATGCATATTACATTAAAATAAATGAAAAACTGTATAAAAGGTAATCACATCTTTTTCTGTTGCCTGAGAATTATTTTTTAGCTAAAAGAAAAAATTAAATTGAAACAGTTATGGAAGGATTTTATGTGTACGTAGCATCTGATTAGTTATTTTCTCTAGTGAAAGTGATGAAGTGCTTAGTCCAATTAATGATTGTTTTCTCTAAACTGGAACCTGAGTTCTTTAAGCAGAGGAGGGCTGGGCGAGATCTGCATTCATTTCCATGCTGCAGTAGGCAGTTCTGTCTTATAATCAAATGGATAAATTGATCAAGTCCATCTTGAACTTCTCCAACTTCTTTGACCACAACCCTTCTACTGGGTATCTGTTCATAGGTCCGAGGGTTAGAAAGAAATCTTTTCCTGATTTCCACCAAAATTTATCCTTTGGGCCATGAAAAAAATAACTCTTCATAACATTTATGTATCTGATATATTTATAGAGAGAAATCATATTCCTTCTCAGCCTTAATTTGCCTGGCTAAGTATAGAAAGCTATTTCAGTCTCCTCCCACAACTCCATTTTCTTGATTGTTTTTCTCTGATACTCCTCGAGTTTTGTATTCAGTGCTCTTCTAGAATTTGTCTTTCCTGAAAATAAGTGACCAGAATTGTTTACTTTCTGTAGCTGCTAAAAATGCTTTTCTTGTTACATTCATCCTAAAGTTGTATTTCCTTTACTCTTGGCTTTACCTGAATGAGAGCTGCAGCCTGTGAAAAAAATTCTTTTCAATAGTCTTGCGCTCATTATGTTTAATTTTATTTTTTTTCTGTTACTCCAGTCCTCAGGGTCATCTGCTTTTTTCTGAAAGATGTTGTCATCATCAGTATTTGTACTGCATCAAAAGTTGATGTCATTTCAGCCAATTTCAGTGAGCTTCTGCTTCTGGGAACAAAGACATCGATGAAATCCTCCCAGCTGACCTTAGTGATAATAGTGGTCTTTTTTTTTCCCCCCAGGAATATCAACTTTTACTAGTTAGCCATGATTTGTCTTATTTTTCTCAAGCTGAAGCAACATTTCCCATAGCTGGATATATCCCAAATTAGTTGTGCTGCCTGTACCCTACCGTGGCTCAGAGGACAGGGAGGTTGGACGTACAGTTTATTGAGTTGTGCTGGGCTGTCTCATGCTGAGAGGATGCCACCCAAATAACCCATACAGATCAGAAGTGTGTCCTTCATTCTTTTCTCACTTTTTGCACCAGGTGTGTACACAGGCAAAGGACTAACGTTATTCAATACTGGCTTGTATGAGAGAGACACTGGGAAGGAAGTGAGGTGACACATGGTTAGCTGTGTTTTAGAATATTGCTGTTACACTGTCTATTTACTATGAAAAAAAAAAATCTTAGATTAACTTCAGCTCAGGACTAACTGAATAATTGTCTGTTTTAATTTAAGGCTCAGGAGACATGGACAGTATTTCCAAAGTGAGTATCTAATAAAATATTTGGAATTTTTAGAACGTTTCACTCTAAATGTACTTTCTTTGTCTCTGTTTTGAAGCTTGTTATTATGTATCTCCCATTTTCTGCTTGTCAGCTCTTTAGTTGCGATGCAGACAGAATTAGTATTAATTGAAAATTTAAAAACGATATAATCAATAGGGAGTATAAGTAGACTTATTCCCTACTGCATAATAATATGTATTAATGAATATAATTCATTATATCCAGTTCATAATCTGATTGATCATGTTATAATCTTCCATACAGTTAAGACAAATGAATATATTTCTAATAATCAATTCTAGTTAAATGTAAATTTGGGAAAATGTCATTAGGATGTTACTTTTATGCACTGCATGATTGCTTTTGTCACCTCGGCAAGGCAATTTTAATATCTTAATCATCAGTATCAGTTCCTAAAAGCTAGATTAAGAAGTAGTTTCAGAAGAAGCCCTACTTTAGTATCACAACCATTAAATAGTTGGAAATGAATGTGAGTTTAACTGGCAGGGGTTAAATAAAATAATACTGTGCTAGAATGTGTCACTTCTTCCATAAAAATAGCACTACTACTTATGTGATCATCATTAATTTAGGAATTAATAAGCTTATTTGGTATTGATAAAGTGGCAGAAATCTGTCCCCTGCAAAACGCTTATGTTTTGTACTCAGCATCTTCAGCTGTAACTGACTGAAATTCATAAATACATCACTACAACAATCTCCCTGCACTTTTGTGCTTTAGATGTTTAAGTACAGAAATGAATGAAAAAATTGTTTCAGTTAAAATTTTTTTAACAACTCATTCATTTGTAGCAAAATTCTTAACAATCTTCCAAGAAAGGAGTGTGAGTTTGTTTTGAGCATGTCAGCTGCCCGTGTGTTTTGGTTTGCCCCAGGATCGAGTACCAGCGTGCTGTCTCTAGATCTCTGCCAGTGCAGACTTTGCCATTCCAAATCTGTCTAAGGCTGGTCTGCATGTGCTGTGGTCATGCCTGGGACCTTGCTGTAGGCCTGTTCTCAGGAGCTATGATGAGATGCCAACACATAGGGAACAAAAAGCTCACCTTTATTCACATGGGTTAACAGAGAAGTTTGTAATGTGAATTTCTTGAGAGTACACTTCCACGTTCTTGAGAGTAGACATTCAAAAGGCAGGAATCATTCTTCATTTAGTGATGCATATTTGCATATTCAAAAAGGAGGAGGAGGACCCTGTAAGACTCCCCAGTTTGTGGTCTTCTGGTGGTATGGTGTGGGGAGAGGTGGCCTGTAAAGTGCTTAGCATGTGTCTTTCCTGGAGAGAAAGACCTCAGCAATATTTGTCCGAGGCCATTACAATCCAATATTTTTGTACATTTTTAGGATCTGCAAGACTTTTAGGCTCTGCAAAGAGTAAAATGATGGATTGAAATGACCATATTGCCTTAGTTGTGCTGTGCTTAAATGTGCAGTGCTGGATTCAATAAAAGCCTCCAGTGAGATAATAGGTATACAGCACTTTTTAAATCAATGTCCATATTTTTTTTTCAGTGTTTTTATTGCAAACTGCAGCATTTTTTAAGGAAAAAACCCAGAGCATTTCCGTTAGCTTACCATAGGATTATTTTTAAAAGCCTGCATTCAGCTCACTGGTGTCAGGTGTATGTGCTAATACAAGTATCAGGAGCTCTGAAAACTTAGATCCAAAAATTTGCCTGCAAGTCTTGTGATTTGTTAACCTTAATAAATAACTCATGGAAATCACATTTGACGCATGTGTTTTTCAAAAAACTAAAAGCAAAATACTGCTAACTTGGGAAGTAACAGAGTTGTCCTGTTACACCCTTGTATCTTTTTCTGGGTACCACTGCCCAATATACAGCCTTCCTTGATAGTAGTAAAAGTGTGTGGGTAGCATTGGTAATTTCGGATACAGAGTGGTACATAATTCTTTTGAAACTTGAATGGAAAAGTTATGCTTGCGAGAAATAGTAAATTTCTGGGGTTGATGCATCCAAAATTAGTATGTGGCTGCCCTTCCCGATTTTGTACACAGTGAAGAGGATTGTTCTTGGTGAGGCAACAGTCACCCTGCATACTTCACCAGCTGGTCTTGTGGTTGACTCTTTTGGAAGAGTTCACTGAAGTTAACACGGTTTTGGGGCTGTGATGCTCAAGTCCAGGCACAGGCACAGCGTATTAGAGGAGCTGATTGTCAGTTCCTAGGAGATATAGAAAATTAATCCAGTCTTGGTAGAATCAGTACAGCTTACAGAATTCAGAGCTACATTTTCTAGAGAAGATTTTAATTTAATTGGCTGGATGGCAAAACATTAAGTTTTTATGAAGTAGATTGAGATGGGGGAAGTAAATGAACTGAAATTATGCATATTAAATAAACATTAATAACCAGTGTTTCTTGCAGGGCCCATGGAATTTGTGCAGGCATCAAAGACATTCTTGCTTTGGAAAAACTCAGCTAGTGCTACAATACCAGACCCCATACTGGCCATAAAAACAGCTCAGGGGAGTTGCTATAAAAGCATTTATGTCAGGAATTTGAACCTTTGGGGCTAGCGTACTGTAGCAATTGCAGAATTTCAAAGCTTTGCGCTACACAGAGCAAGATAAAATAGGGGTAAATCCCCCAGGAACGAACAAAAGTGCAGGAGCACCATATAAAATAAATGTGACAAGGCCTCAGTGGGTTTTAAACTTTATATTCATAGATTTTAAGGCCAGAAGGGACTGATACAATTGTGTAGTATGACCTCCTGTATAACACAGGCAACAGGAATTCCCTGAATTAATTCCTGCTTAAGATGCAGTAGCTGTGGTTGAACTAAAGCAATAGTTCTCAAGCTGTGGATTCCTAAATATTTGCTATACTAACTTCACTGGATAGCAAACTTAACTGTCTGATGTCAATCAACTAGTTAGGCTTTTAGTTGTCTTTGATGGATATGTTGTCCTCCGATTCCAGGAGATCTGGGGATCACAGTTTCAGAAGCAGTGAACTAGACTGCAGAAAACAAAAGGGCTAAAGCAGGAGTTTTGACCCAGCTCTGTAAGCTGCATTTCAGATGCTAATTAAAAAGTTATGGCTGCGTGTCAGTTAGGTAATTAATTTTGTATTTACTCTATAACTGAAAATAAATACACTAAGCTGAATACACTGAGCAACCTGGTCTAGTGGAAGGTGTCCCTGCTGATGGCAGCGGGGTTGGAACTGGATGAGCTTTAAGGTCCTTTCCAATCCAAATCATTCTATATTTCTATGAATCCGTATATTTACATGGTCATTCACACTGAGAATGATGATCTTCCCTTGGGAGTATGGTGGAAACTGAACAGCAGCCTTTCACTAACCATACAAAATACATCACAAAGCAGACAGTATGTACAGCAGTCAGGTGTAGCATCCTGCCAATGTAGGAGCAAAAGTAACTGATTTAAGTTGTGGTAGGTGAAGCTGAGAACAACAGGTTTTGTTCTCCTTGAAGGTGAATTAAATCTGAGGAACGGTGGAATATATTGCAATATTTAAATTATGGACAGTGGTCAACATGGGACTTCATGATTACGAAAAGGAGCATGCAGAAATATGGCATGGAGGGGAAGCAGAAGTCATAGCTATCCTGTCCCCTTTTCTTAGTGAACACTCTGGTGTACATCTTTAAAGTGCCAGGGTAGGACTGATTGCCTTTGTAGTTCTGAGGAAAGTGCCAAGAAATCAAGGGGACTACCTCTTTTTTTGATGTTTCCAATTTTTCATTCAAAGTTTGACGTATTGTAGATTTAATTATACTAAATGAAGACTGCATGCAGGTATTTTCAAAGTGCAAAATATATGGGGTTTTTTAAGAAAAAAATCTCTATGCTAACAGACATACTGTGTTAGGATTGTAATTGAGAATAACATAAGAAAAAGGACAGATTCACTTAGGATTTTTACAGCCGTTATGATTTGGTCACTTTGACCAAGATCACTACTTGGAGTTGCATTTTGTTAGCTTGCCCATTGACTGCACCAGTTATTGTGACATACCAGATTTGCACTTGTATAAGTAAAATCTCAGCAGCAATCTTGCATTCAGTTTTTCTGGATCAAAAAAAAAAAAAGAAAATCAAGGGAAAAACTGTGACAGACGTAAACATTTTATAATGAAGTTCATTACTTCACTCCCCCCTTTCCCTGACTGCTGCCTTTCTATCACAAATCCTTTATAAGCAGGAGTCTTTAACAGTGATGGAAAGAGAATTGCCCATGCTCCAGGCATGGTAGGGTACCACAAATAGCTTTGCAAAAACACCTAACTAATTGTAGTGTCTACAATAATCATGTATTACCTATTGACTCAGAATAATTCCTGTGACAATTACCTTCTTTCACCCTTTCTTTAAGTAATTGAATCTTGAAAACATTTTCTGAACATTGAAGAGCTGGTTATGCACTTCTGTAAAAAAAGGAATTTATCTTCAGAAGCCTTTGTGTTGTTACTATTTATTAGCATTTCAGTTACACCTAGACACTGAAAAGTCAGATTAAAATGCTGTTACGTTATGAAGTGGTTTAACAATTGAACCACACTGTGAACTGCTTGTGAAACTGTATTTCAATGAACTGTGAACACTATGAAGAAAAGACCCCAGGGACAGACGTTTGCAAAGGTCTGTGTAGACCAGGTCCATCCATGTGTCTTACCTTTAAGTACATGTTCATAAGTCACATATGACAAGGCACACGCTCATAAACTTCACTGAATTTGACCACATGAATTAATGTAGGGACAGAGTTCCCTCGTATACCTGCTACAACCATTTATAGCTTTTCCTGACTTCAGTAAGAGAAGATGCTGGCTATAACCTGAAAATAAGAATTACAGGTAAATAGTTCTTGCTTCAGGGAAGAAAACACTGCTTTACAGGCTAAAATTAGTAACTGAATCATGCAGTACCCTGCAGAGCCTTATTTTTCATCTTTGAAAATCCCATTGTGTTGCACAATCCATCTTAGCACACTACAGAATCGTGTAAAGCGTGCTTTTGGTGAAGCTGAATTTTCAACACTTATCTGTATTTTAAAATGTTATTTAACAGAACTCTCCCAGTAATATGAGCATGAGTAATCAGCCTGGCACTCCCAGGGATGACGGTGAGATGGGTGGAAACTTCCTAAACCCTTTTCAGAGTGAGAGCGTAAGTATTTCTTTACCTTTTTTTTTTTTTTTTTTTTTTTTTGCTTTGTGAACCTTTATCTCTGTCATTCTGTTTAAAAAAAAGAAAAACAACAGCAAGAACAAACAGTTTTGTAGTGTACTTGTAATGCAGTACTGTGCCTTTATGTGTTTTTTTTACTAGCTTCTAAAATTATAGTATTGATTTGACAAAAAATTGTGCTAAGACTGCTAGAAGTTGAGCTGAAACTGGAAAATGTGAAAGGTGTAGATTTACTGCAGAAACTGTTTTTTAGATTAAGAGGTCAGTTGTCAATGAGAGTTAGATCTGTCAGGCAGTAATAATTACACCGCACATATTCAGTGCCGCACAGCAGGCATTTGTCAGGCAATATCCGAGCAGCCCGAGTACATGTGGTTGACAGATCCTTACATCTGAGTGTTTCAATGTGTGGTTGCCCAGCCTTTGACTCCTAAACAATGTGCTTTGCAGGGAATGTCTTTTAGAGCAGGATTTACAGTGAAGTATATGTTTAGAGCACCAGTAGATCTCATGTTGCAAAGATGCAGTGTGCTATTAGAGCCAGAAAAAGCAAAGGTTCCCTCTAGTGTTCGTTTGGGGAGAAATGATGCTTTTTTAAAATGGAGAATGCTTGTGAGGCAGCGAAACACTGGTGTAAAATACATTACAAAGCAAGACTACAGTATTTGCACACTTGTGTACCTGCTGCAGCTGGGTTTCTAAATCCACATGTAGGTTCCTAAATAGGAGTGGCCTGATTTTTTCAGAGTGCTGAGTGACCTCAACACTTCTATTCTTATTGGAAATCACTGCTGCCAGGAGTGAGCGCAGCTTCATTAACTATGCCAGTGGTGAACTTCAGCTCGGAAATTATGATGAGTAAACAGTTGCTTTTAAATCACAAAACAGTTGAATTGCATGGCAAATTTCATGGGAGTCGGGTTCTTGGGTTTTTTAGGTTTGCATCTTTAAGTAGTGAAAAAGAAGGGTTTCTGCATGTGAGCTGTTGGTGTGTTCATAAAGAGGGCACATGTTCAGATTGTGTGGAGTATTGGAGTAAATTGGTTTGTGCAACACAAAAAGACTGGTGTTTCAATATCTGCCAAAAAACCCAGTAATGACAGAACCTCCATTAAATATGATTCTTGGTCATGGTAATCCTTGACACTCAACTTGGTAAGCGTTGCTTGTATTGAGGGCAGGCAGTCTGACCAGAAGGCAGGCCAGTTCACCAAACTAAGGTCATGAAAAGCAGGACATCAGTTGTACTCCAAAGAAAATCTGTTTTTGCAGACTCTTACTGGATTCTAGGTACTCCTAGATGTTTTTTTCCACCTGGAAGAACCTGGGACCCAGTTTTTTTAAGGTTTCATGTGAGATGTATGCCTACAAGGCATGTGTTATACATGCCACGTGCATTCTACTCTACTTCTAGGTATCAGTTCCTCTCTAACATGAGTCTCGTTGTAGTCCTTGGGAAATGTCTTGCTTTTTTATTCGTATTTGTTACTTGGCTACTTAGAGTGCACGTTATTACAAAGTCCTTTCTCAGGCAAATTTGCTGTTCAGTTCAAAAAAAAAAGGAGTTTTGGTTGGACGTGGGGCACAGTGCTTGGCTAATACGAAGTTAAAAATCACAACCACCTTTAGGTCATTTTTCAATTCCTTGTTCAAAGTGATTGCCCAGATACTTTGGCTCAGATACAGGAAATCACTGGAACGGACATTTTACTGTAATAATTTGGGCTGCTCTCTTGACGTTGGCTAGAGATAAGTCTGTTCTTACTAGTTTTGCTGACCCACTGTGGGAGCGTTCAGCAAAAAAATGGGAGCAAGCCCTAAAGCAGACAAACCATCAGAGACATGACAGGGGACAAAGTAGACTTTACCCAAGTAGCCCATTCTGTGTAGTTTACATGACAGGAAAAACTCATACAAAATGCTTTTTCTGATAAGCTTGGACACTTGGAAATGTCCAGCTAGAAACTCTGGCTTGGGCAGGATTTTTATTTGTATATCTGTTTTTGTAAAGGCAAATTTATCTTTTTGTTTCATATATCAGTTTTCATAATGGTAGTACTTCTTGCATTTGAGCGTTTTTCTCTACTTAGAAGATTTTAGGCCAAATTAAGTGTTTCTGCAGTCCGCAATTTTCAATTTAAAACCAAATTAGGCATATAGATGTGCACTCCTTCTAGGCATTGTGGTGTCCCATTGATTGTTGTAATGAAGTAGTATGAACTTGAGAGCAACTATAGCGTGTGTAAGGGCTGCAGTTCAATTTGTGTTACAATAGTAATGTAATGTCATGATTGAATTTTTCTTTCATGTAAAGGAGAGTAACAACTGATCCTTGATTCAGCTTGGCTCCTAAAATTGCTAATGCAGAATAATACAGACCAACAGCCTAGTTTAATTCCAGTCATACATATCTTTACTCCTTTCTTCCCCTAAAGTATAAGTAAAATAAGTATAAATAAATAAAAAGTTCTCAAAATATTTATGTGGTTCAGCTAACCATGAATGCAGCTGGTCTACTTGAGACTAGCCACCTGCCTAGTTAAATTCCCCCAGTAGCCAACATCGACCAGGAAAAGGCGTGGAAAGCATCAGTGAAGTACTGGTTCATCACACTACCCAGGTGATACCAAAACAGTCTTCAAGGAGTTGGCTTTATCAGCAATCACTGTATTTTTGCATAATGAGGGAAGCATAACAGAAGTTACGATACCACAAATTGAACTGCTACAGCCTTAGCACAGGCTATAGTACAAATCCAGGAGAAACTTCAAAGAGCGTGTTGACATTTGAACTCGTTGCTGTGGTCCAGAAGTGGTTTTAGTTACCTGCAGGGGGAAAAAAATGATTGTTAAAATGTGGATTCCTCTTTTTTCAGTACTCCCCTAGCATGACAATGAGTGTGTGATCCGTTAACAAGTCTCGCCACGAAGACCACAGTGAGTTTGCCCTCTTCAGAGAGCTACCGCAGAAGAAAATTATTCGTCCCAGTGTACAGTTTAACAAAAGGATCTCAGACACAATCAGACCCACCTTTCTTTTTTCTTTTTTTTTCCTACCATCTCCCCCGTTTTGTCAAGACAGTGGGTCCCAAACATGATTGAGACAACTGTAAAGAGTGGCTTAACAGAACTGCCCAAGATGGAACTGCAAACAATTATCTGTGTATGTACATGTGTGGGTTAACGTATATGTACGTGTGTGTGATATAGAAATACACACATACATATATAAACCCGCAGGACATTGTAAAATATTATCACATGACATTTTAAGTAGAAATGAGAAGTAGGGACTTCTATTTCTTTTTTTTTTTTCTTTTCCCCCTCACGTTTACATTTTAATTATTAAAATTTGCTTTTCCTCTCCCCTCCTGAACTGTTTTATGTTGCATATATCACTGCTTTATAAGTTATTTTTTAAGGTGAACTCAAATGATAAATTCTTCTGATTTTGTAAATGTCTGCCATTATGGATAGGAATAAAATTGCTTATAAGAGCTTTCATTAAGTTGTGTTTGATAACCAGTTACCCTGTGAATCACAAACTGTACTGTCTCAAGAAATAGAAGAAAGCTCAACTTAATTTTTTTGGAGAAATTTAATAATTTTCACCTAGTTTGGTGACGTTTTTTAAATACTTTGCCTTTAAAAAAAGAAGCACTGAAGGTTATTTTTCTTCTTTAATTGAAGCCTAATATCTGCAATATCTATTTTAAATGGAAGCCTGAATTTGATACAAGCTTCTCAGTTTATATAGAGTACTATAAGGTTACTGTAAGTGAGCTCCAATTGCTATAGAATTTAGCAATAAAGTGTCAGGGTTTCTTCTGCCCTTGGAATTGTATTTTCTATTTGGCATGATCTTCTCTAAGGATGGTAGTTAGTGGAAATACAACAGAGTCCTTATTGCCAAAACCTTTTCTAACAATTTACTGTTACGTTTCCCATTTACAGTGATTATCAACCGAATCGTACCAATCCATGGTAATAATTATAAACAGTATTTCCCAAGCCCATTCAGGAAATCAGATCACCCTGCTACGTGGGTGTGTGTTTTTCACCAGGTGTACCAGAATGAATTCCCTCAAAACTTTCCACTAAGCAGTCTTTTTCTTTTTTTTTTGAGCCAGAATGATAGAGTGAACTTTTTATGACTACTAGCCTTGTGAAGGTCATACCTTTTGCCATGAACAGAAGAGGAACAAAGGTCTGGGCCATTTTCTAAGGAGGTCAGCCTTATTAGACATGAAAGCTGGGGACAGAATGGAGAAAAGGCATATGGTATTAAAGGAAATGCTTCTGGAAGCAATCCCATGTGTCTTCAGGCAAAGCTCTAAAACCAAGATTATGGCGCATTTAGTTCCTAATGACTTCCAGCTCCCCCAGGAACACAAAAGTTTTCAGCTGTGTAGTGATCAAAGGCTGACGACCAGCAATGCGGGCACAAAGTGGCTGAACAAAAATTCATGCCACAGACAAAAAGCAAAGTCCCCTCCTCCGACTTTGCATATAGAAGAGCCACTTAATAGGAGGAGCACTTCTGAGACATGTGTATGTCCATGAAGTCTTGCAAGGGGATATTTTTCATTAATTTGTGATAAAGAAGTATATGTAATGGGCTTGTTGTGATAGTAGCTGCACATAATGGGATGTGTAAGGAATACTACAATCTCCTAACTCATTTTTATTTACATATATTATATATATGCACATATACAATATATGAAAATAAAAAGCTGTAATACTTGTTACTTTCTTGTTAGGGCTATTAAAAGATTAAACTCTTGGAGGCTTAAAATTATATTAAAATAGCAAAGATTTTGGTAGCATTACTTTTTAGTAATAATAACTACTTTGATTAGTTGTAAACATAAACTAGGTGATAGTCATTATATGGTTTTGTGGATTTTATTCCCAGTGATTATGAAGGTTACATTCATTTGCTTATCTTTGGAAAACTCTCTGTTGCTGTCTCAAAAGATGGTAGAAGCCCCTACTATTGATTTGAGCTACAAAAACACAAAATCAGATCGAATTTCCTAAGACCCTTCACTGTTGTCACTAATACCACTGGTTTCAGTGGCTCTGTTCCCAGTGCACCCCAGTGGCTATGTCTTCAGAAGTGGTGCAGAGTCCAGGCATCCTTGCAGCCTGTATTTGACATCTGTATTGTCCTCAGCAGCCTTCTCAGAAGGACTTTAGGACTCTTCTGCCCAGTTTCAGTCAGATGATGTCACTGCTGCTGGACTAAGGTAGATGGATATGTCTGGACTATGCCTCAAGTGCCACACACCAGGTAAGTGTGCCCAGGAGTGAGCTCTGAAATCATTGAGTGCGTCTGGGGTCTGTTGGGTATCTCCAGGGGAAGCCCCTCTACTGTCCCATGCCAAGCTCATGGCAGGGGGCTTGGAACTGGATGATCTTTAAGGTCCCTTCCAAACCCCAGACCATTCTGTGAATCTAAGGTGGGGCTCCTGCAGGTGAGCAGCGTGTCCATCGAGCACACAACAGCTGCCCATGGTGGCATCACTGGGGGCTCTCTGACCAGACAGAGCATGTGCCACCACTGGAGCTTGTTACTCTGGCAAAATTAAGGAGAACTGGGGCTTAGTATTAATCAGAGACTCAACTTTTTTTTTTGTTTTATTTTCCTATCTGAATTTGACATTATCTGCAATAGTTTAGCTTATAAGCAACTGTTAAGGATGAAAGCACTGCCATTAAATTAAACTTTGCAAAGAAACCCCTTAAATGAAACTGCCAACAATCAAAATATGTTATCCTAACTTATGCACAAGAGCAAAACATCCTTTCAGACACATAATTTTCCTTCTGTAGTTCTTTTCAACTCCCTTTTACTGCTAGCATATCTTTGTTTCCCCTTTCCCTTTCTTTTCCAAAACATTTACATCAAATTAAACACGGTTGCATTGATTCTGCAGCACTGATCTCAGTAAATCCATTCCCAGCTTCAAAATGAGCAGGATCAGGCCCTGATTCTTGTAGCCTGTCATTCTGTGCCCTGGAACTGCAAGTTACTGGCTGTCTCCAGCACTGCTCATACCTGCATAGCCCCGCAGACTGGTGGAAAGTGCAAGCTTGCAAAATTTTAGATTTGGAAGATCTGCTTGAATACTCAGTGGATATATAAGGAAACCTAATCATCTTGCTTTCTGTAGGGAATGCTTACATTCCTATGCTTACATACATGAGTAAAGTTATTTACAGGCACATTGGTTAAGATCAGGCAATTGTAACCATACACAGGTTCTGCAGCTGCACCGTTAGAAAACAATCTCATGTGCTAAATACTCAACTTCAAAATTATAAGCATCCTTTTGTTGTTGTTGGGTTTGTTTTTTTTTTTAAATATGCATAAAACTTTTAGCTTGTTCATTTGTTTCCTTTGTTTTGTTTATCCTTGTAGGATTTTCATCATGTCTAGAATATTAATAGGGAAAGAAAAACTATTTCCAAGCACTGACTTTTTCCTCCTGCTTATGTTTCTAATGCTCTAGATACCAGTGTGTAATGTAACTGCTGTTTATATCTGTCCTTATGCAACAGCGTTATTGATAGTGTCAGAACTTGTCCAGCTCTGGGAGGAATCTTAAGTGGTGCAGGATAGTTTTTCCACACTAGGTTTTTAGATAGAGTTCTCTCTTTAATATAGAAAAAAATAGATCGTGATTCTGTAAATGGGTCTTTGAAGCAAGTTTAAAGTAAGGCTTTTTAAAAACAGAAGTGATGAGTGTAGTAGCAGAGATAGGATCTCTCATACTGTGAGAACTCCAGAAAATATTCTGGCCTTTTAGAAATCAGCTGAAATTGGGATTCACTTGTGAATTTCATGGTGAAAACAGTATTGTATGTGCTTCATAAACCTAAGAAAGGAGTATTCATACCCCAGATTTTATCTCCATGTCTGTCTTGTGTAGGCAGGAACAGGGTTTAGGGCAAGGAAGAAGCTGTATGAATCACAAGTAAAGCATGTGGCCTGACATGAGCATTAAAACAATACCTGGATATTTGCATGTATGGGTTGCATTATTTTCTTAATTGCCTGAGCATGAGGAAGAACTGCAGTTGCACTCTGGGTTCCCCCCTTCCACTGTGGGGTGAGTTTGGTGCATGAAAAAACATGGCAGTAACCCCGAGTCGAGTCTTTGGCACATCATCTACTGCCCAGTGATGTGGACTCGGAGGCACCTCAGAGTGACAGTCCCCAGATCAGAGGGTTGTCCACCAGCTGCTGGCTCAGGACACACTGGCCTTGTTTTTTTAATTTGGGAGCTTTCTGGTTGCAGAGCCAACGGGTCATGTATTCAGAGACAGTCACAACTTTCAGACTTACCAGCCCTCTCCCCTTAATATAGGATTAAATACCCCTTGTCCCAAGACATCCAGCTGTTGCAATGGGAATACCCAATGAGAAATACATATGTAATTATTTACTTTAAATAATTCAAATTAGGAAGAAGTTAATAGAATCTTGCTTCTTTATGGATAGCAGTTCGTGCGTCAGAAGGACAGCTTCTTGAACTGGCAAAAAATCATTTGAAGTTTCCCCTGTTTCGTGGCTAGCAAATGAAATACAGCAAGCAAAGATGATTTGGAATTAGATGGGTAATTTAACGAGGAACCAGCTGTTATAATATTCAGTGTTGAACATTTTATTCTTTTTTTTCTCCTTTACCAGTCAAAATTAATTCTCAGCTGATACATGGTGCACCAGTTTCTAGTTCTCAGATCAGTTAATCACTTTTAAGTGTTACCTCCTGTCCCTAGTCAGCTCTGATTCTTTGTTGTTGTGGTGGTTGCTAAATATGGATTGGATTCTTCAAGATTTGACCCTACACATTTGCATTTGGAGAATGTAAAATAGAGCTTAACAATATAAAATAATAATAATTAAAAAATCAGTACAGGTAAATTTATTTAATTCACTGTAAGTGATGATATAAAATGGCTCCTGTCCCAGACACACTTGGGTTTGGTTGGGCTCTAAGGATGGGAATCCTGACAAAGCACATCTCTCAAATAAAACCCAAATAAAACTCTTTCAACAGTGACAGCACATTTCTTTTCAAACTGATCACACTAAGGATCTAATTCAGGATTTAATGATACGAAGCAACTATAAAAATTCAGTACACTCAGAGATAAATGAGTTAGTTAGAATTAAATTTTAGTGTGTGCAGCTTCCTCTACTTTCCAGACATTATGGGCTCAGTGCTATAAGCTGCTGCTCATGCCAGTTGTCCTGCTCAAAGTTTGATGAAACCACTCACATAAGGTAATTTTTTTGGTAGGAGTTCACCCTGATCTAGATGAAATACATAATTTCTCTGAGATGTGAATTTTTGGGCAGATATATAAACTGAGAAAATAGAGCAAAATACAGCAGTTCTGATGAAATTACCAAAGTGATGTTTCAACCTGAAAAAACAAGGAAAAAATTCCTTATTTAAAATACTGCTTCGAGTGCATGCATGCAAATTGTCTGCCAGTGCTGTTATCTTGGAGACAATTACAGTAACAAATTTAGAGAAAATAAATGGATCATCTACTCAGCACATTAAAACTCTAATCCTGCAGAAGCATTCACGTGTGTTTGAAATAAAGCCTGCACATAGTTAATTTCAAACAGATTTAAGAATACAAGTAGTGTCCTTCAGGAGAATGGCACTGCCAATATGCTGAAACCATGCTTGAGCGTGGACAGTCTAGAAGTTCAAATTAAGTCTTCCCTAAACAGATACTATCTTATAAGATTTTAC